TAAGACGCAGCTGCTACAGATGAGGCGGGTTCAGTGACGGAAGAATCATTATTAGATACCGGCACATTATTCTTCTCACGATTAATACGAAACCTAAATATGAAAACAGAAAGATTCAATGCGATATTAAATGCACGCTTTTACTCTGAATAAATATTCCCAATAAAGTTAGCAAGACAAACTTCAGTTTTGAAAGCTGTTTCCTTCCTGTTTTTGTAGCTGGCCGAATCATACGGGTTATTTTGAAAGGGGCGTTCTTCGGAGGTTTACTAGGCATCAAAGGGTTGTTATTATGGACGTTAAGAAGAGCGTGAGCCAAGTGAACGCGATTCGAAACTACTGAACGACCCGAACGATTCTTTTGTACAACGGCATTAGTTGAAGAACGCGTAGCTACCCCAACATGAATTTCTTGATCACCATCGTTTTCAAACAAATTATGTCTTTTCGCGCTGCGTCCGTAAAACACCTAAGATGAAATTCTTCTCAAAATACCAAATTTTTAACACCAACACATACTTCAGCTGACAATATTTTGAATAGCAGAAAATGAATCACGTAAGGAAATTAAAATCACAAGTGAAACTTCAATGTTCGCATACAATCACATACCTCGTTTTTATCAGCCTTTTTCTGTGTGTGTTTTATGTATTCCAGCCTCTTCCTATACTTATCAACAATAATTTTTTCAAGTACAAAAACGTTTGCACTTCCTTGCTGAAAAAAATCCAATACTTTTACTTCTAACCCCGCACTGCATTGCCCGATTAAAGTTCAAAAGAAATAAGAAATGACGCTGAAATGAGGCATTTTACCTGCGACTTTTGTTGCCCCGAAACTCCGTTGGTGGATGAATTTTTAGTACACTGGTCTAACTTCTCAAGAAAGCTTGGTTTCCTGGCGTCACTTCGGTGGCCGCCGTTGCTCGTAGAAGTAGACTGCACTGGTGACGGAAGGAACTGTTCTCGTGCTTGTGATCTCGTAGAAAACTTTTTTGACGGACTAATGAGACGCGACTGAGGATCGTTATGTGTATTGCTACTCAAAAGGTTCCGTGAACTGCTCTTCCGCAGCAATGATGAAAATTTAGTAATCCTTTTACTTCCAACTGCAAATCCAAAGCCTGGTAAGAAAGACAGCAAAAGATTGAAAACAACAGAATGCTTTATCACTGTTTCATTACCTTTGCTTATTTTCGCTAAGGGTGTCTGCTTGACAACTTTCTTCCGACCATCCTCTTCGTCTGTATAAGCGTGTTTTCTCTTTTTAACTTTCGCTTCTGGAGTCTCCGGTATTACAAACGAGCTGTGACTTGAAATTCGTCCATTCAGCCTCGAAGAAGCGATAGACCCATTTTCTCTACTACCTTCTCAAAGAAAATGAAGCTCAGTAAATTTAAACATTGGGTCCAGAAAACCCGCAACGAAGTGCTCTCAAAAGCCCCAAAAGCCCAAATACAGAAAATTAAAAATGAATTTACTTTTGACCCTGGCATTTCTTCTTCCACCACCCACTCCTTTTTTTGTTTTCACTGAAGACAACTTCAAGTCAGATATAGCGGATGTCGAAGGCTTGTAGTCAGTATCGCTATCTTCCTTCAAAAGTTGATTTAGCTTTTCATGTTGAGTGGCCTTCCTGGCAGAGACGGGAGACGTTCTTTCAACAGTGTCTGCCTCCACGTTGCTTGTAGCGATAGTAGCATACTCTTCAAGATCGCAAGGGATGCTTACGCACAACTCAACATAAATCCTAACCAAAAGCTCGGGCAACGCATGTGCAAATCTAAACTGAACAAGCTTAAAAAACCAGAAAACGGAAAAAATAACCTCCCTCAAAGCAAGTTAGAAACTAACAAATCCGTCATTGACTCGTTTAGAAACCTGTGCATCCGATCTGCACCGCCAACGTAATAAATGCATCGTAATTTGCTCAAAATCTGAAAAAAAATTGGTTTCTTCGGCAAAACCAGTATATATGAAATATTACCACACATACATTAAAAACTGACTGAATGAATTAAAAAGCAGACCCTCTATACATACACACCTAGTCCTTTACAAAATATATCACACAGATACAAAAGTAAACTTAAAAAATTGTTACTCCATAAAGGATGTTTCACAAATAGTACCCTCCTTGCGTTGAGTTAAAAATAGCCTTTACGACCTTTCTAAACACTAAAAAAATAAAAAGACTTACATCAGTGTCTTCCAAATTTTGGAATCCTACTTTATCTTGCATCAAATGCAGCTCAATCAGAACCATCAATTCATACTCTTTTAACTGAATCTCCTCATTTAATTCCTTACAATCTGGGCTTGTCGAATCCTCCACGACAACACACTTCTTCAAGACATGATTTTCCAGAAAGCTATTCACAAGCTTCTAAAAATTGAAATTAACGAATTATCTATCGAAAGCAAAAATAACAATTCCTGTTGCTTTTAACTACCTCGACATTATCGGACCAAGTATTATGATGGAAGAAGTTCCTAAGCGAATTCAGTAGAACAAAAAAAGCTTCCACACTTGTAGGACAACAAGAAAGTTGTTCTTTAAGAATAACGGGCAGCTTCGCCAGAAGATCTGCTTCAGAGCAATCTGAAAAAGCTAAAATAAAATCTTAGATACTTCAATAACGTGTTTCAAAATTTGAAAAGACAAAACTAACAAAATGGAAGGCTATTCATTTTTTGTAAAAAGCTAAAAAATTCAAAAAAACTTTCATTTCATCATTCTGGACAACTAAGACAAAAGAAAAAAGAAGAATTACAGGACTCCAAAAGACGCAAAAAAAGGTAGAAAACAAGCGGAGAGCCACGTTTAACTATACCTAAAGCAATAAAGTTCTTTGTCTGTAATGATTCACGTCTCCGAGTACGCATCTGCATAAGTTTACGGGATTGTCTCGGAAGTTTATAAAGAGAGGTTTTGGGCGAAAAATGGTCTGAGTTTTTGTAAAGAAAATAGTTTTTAGAACGAGACATTAAGCTGTCATCAAAAGAGATGCGGGACGAACTATCGTCTGACAAATCCAGATTACCTCCGCACATTTTTTCTTCCATGCCCAACATTTTAGAAGCTGAAAAATTAGTCTCTACACACAATTCGAAAGAAAAAATTAAGTAGAAGAAATCATTGCACAAAACCGTACTGTCGTTAGTAGGTGTTGGTGACACTGCATCTGCCACAGCAGCTAACTGTTGACGGTTTTCTCCCACAAAATCATTAATTACTTGTCTAAGTTGTTTAAATGGTATGTGTTCCTTGCTTAACTGCTTTCCAGGACTTAGACTATAAAAATTTTGAGAATGAGGCACGATAAAAAAAGAAATATTGAACCAAAAAACTATGTTTGACTTCTCTGTTGTTAAAAAAGGCAGGTCAAATAAAAAAGTGGCAAAAATCTTCAATTTCAACGACAAGATGGAAAGTAATAAACAGTATGAGAGAAGAAACCTATTTCATAAAATATGGTTTTACATGTAAAGCCGCTCAAAAACTGTTGAGAACCAAAAAAATTAGACTACTTACGCTTGCACTAAAGCAAATGCAGCATCCTCAAAGCTTCTTGGTCTTCTTTCATGATTAGCTTCCATTAATCGATTTACACGATACCTATGTAAGAATGGTAAATAAAAGTGGTAAGAAGCTGAGCTGCGTCGTAAGAAAATGATAAACAAGTATGAAAATTTAGCATAAGCCTCTAATGTTATCGGAATCCATTTCCATTTTTAAAATTTTTTGGTTTAGATTTAAAACCAAAATTAAAAAACACCACCTTACATAAAACTAAAACCAACACTACGCAAAGATGTAATTAAAAGAGAATGACAAATTTTAGAGATTTTTTTGTTTTTCTTTCCAATCAACTACTGACAACATCAGCCTAAATATAAATCTCAAAATTCAAGACAGAAATTATAGCATCATAGGTAGTGTTGAAGCAAAAATTTTGTGCGTCCAACAGCTAGTTGTCAGCACAAGGCAACAACAAAACGCATTTATACGCTAATAATTGAATGGTCAGAGGCAAAACCAGACAATTATAATGCGCTTCCTGTGCAGTTTTCGGAAAAACTGCATCATTAGCAGCAATTAACAATTAGTGACCACGAGAAAATAATATCCGATACAAAAGCAATTGTAAAGCATTTTCTTCAACAGCGAAACAGCAAAGGAAACAAACACATGCGCACACATCGCGCGCCGGTTAGTTGCCAAGTGCGCAAAACCTAACATTGTGTTGGGCAATTTGCCAAAATTCAAGCACCTTTTATTGCTGATTGATACAACGCAATAACAGAGCTGTAAATAGTCCCAATAGTTGTCATTAAGCGCAGTTAAATTTGCTCGTCAATTTATCTGGATATAATTTATTTGCCAGTTTTTATGCAATATTTCTTCGTTGACAAAAAGCGGTTTTTTAGCGAATTTTTTGCTCAGCCTCTACAAAAAAATCCTTTTCTTGAGTTTGGTCAAAGGTTTCATGAATGAAGACACCTAAAATGTCGAACATCCGGTACCTAAAAAGTAGAACAAAGAAGTTCTTTTCTTTAATATTCAGTTTTTTATCACACAGAACTACAAAATAAAACTCGCAGGTTAAGGCGAATTTCACGAAAGTAAACTTCTTTGATAACTGATCTAAATTCAATATGCATAACAACTGATCGAAGTTCAGAGTACCGTATCCCTTCTATAGTATTAGCGTGTGAAAACCAAACGTTTTTTAAGGCGTTAAGAAAGTTAACGGAATTTTTTTTACCGATTAACACTAACAATATTCCGCTCTATTCAAAAGCAGGAAAACAAATAAGAACCTGATGGGGAGTGAAAAGGTCAATGTATTTCTTACTTTTTTTTTTT